CAAATAATACAATTTTTTTGTAATGGAATTTTCTCAGAAACCTTATTTTCACTTTGTGGAACCCTGGGGTTTCACGGAATACCATTTGGGAAACACTCATAGAATCCTAGGGCTGGAAGACACCTCAGGAGGTCAACAAGTCCAGCCCCCTGCCCTAGGCAGGACCAGTCCCAACTAAATCAACCCAGCCAGGGCTTTGTCAAGCCGAGACTTAAAAACCTCTAGGGATGGAGATTCCACCAACTCCCTAGGTAACTCATTCCAGTACTTCACCACCCTCCTAAAGAAATAGTTTTTCCTAATTTCCAACCTATACCCCCCCCTCCCCCACGGTAATTTGAGCCCATTGCTCCTTGTTCTGCCATCCGTCACTATTGTGAACAGCCTCTCTCCATCCTCTTTGGAACCTCCCTTCAGGAAGTTGAAGGCTGCTATCAAATCCCCCCTCACTCTTCTTCTCTGCGACTTACAAACCCAAATCCCTCACTCTCTCCTCATAGGTCATGTGCTCCAGCCCCCTAATTAACACTGCTGTAGATGACTGCTAACAAACTGAAACATTTGCCCGGTGAACAAAAAAGGGAAGAGAGGCCCACCAAATACATTGGAAGAGAACATTCCCAGTCATTCTATTTCTACTGCCCTTTAATTCTAGTTTATACATTGGTTTTTATTGCTAACGAGATAAGTTCAAATAAAACCCACCAGATAATTCCTCCTTAAAGAAAAAACTTTCTGTAGACATTAGAACAACCAGGCTTCCATATCAGAGATCATTATAGCTCATTCTGCCTCTGTATAAAGATTTCATGCACATTTTCTATAAAACCATGGACTCTGTGGCAAAAAGTATTTCCTTTTTTCTTGTATAAATATGCACAAATTATTTATATTTTCACATAATAGCCTATTCAGTGCATTCTTTAAAAGTGTCTGCCATGATGGCTCACTGATATAAAGACGCAGAAAAAAAGGAACAATAGTACATAATTACTTTATAAATGGTTTTGTGGAATAATTATATCATTAGTCCGGAGTGGCTTCAACTTCAAAGTGTTCTGTCGCTAATCTTTAGAATTCATTTTTGTTAGAAACTAAGTGGATCGCACTGGGGAAATGACTTGGATAGAGGAGAATCAGCTTACAAAGATATTATTTTACTCCAATTCCTCTTGGCTTTTTGAAAAACACCCAATTCTCCATTGCTGTTACACTTGATATAGCCAAAGCGTGAACATCTGACAGCTGCTGCTATGTTCGCACTCTGTAGTAACCTAGAGTGAAAACTCTGCTCACATAGTGTTATACCTGCCATTTCATTTCATATGCCTCAATATATTTATCCCAGTGCAGAGGGCTTGCTTAAGGATATAGGGCAGTTAAGTCTTACTTAAACCCTTCCTTAAGGACTGAGGTGATGTCTAGACTGCACTATAAAGTCGAAAAAAGCTACGCAATTTGCATTAGCCTCTTTTGAAATTAAATCGAAAAAAGATATTTCAAAATTTGGCGTGTTTATACGGTGCTAAATTTTGAAATAAAATGCTCTTTCAAGACATCTTGTATTCCTCATAGAATGAGGTTTACAGGGATGGTGAAGTAGCAAGCGAAATAGCGTTCCTTGGATGTGCCGTTGCTATTTTGGGATACTTCCAGTATCCCGAAATAGCAATGAAGTCTAGACATACCCTGAAATGGCTCATATCCCTTGAAAGACACAACTATACCCATGCACTTTACCCACTCAATACTGTGCGTTCACAATCTCCTTCACATGGAACCCCTCTCTAATCTCCTAAGCCAGCTCTCCGTGTGCTCCCCTTAAGTCACACTTCTCCTGGAAGACGTAAGTTCTTGTTCACTTCCAACCATGAAGAAGAGCGTGGTGTACACATACCGGGAGAGCAGCACTGTGGCGATCAATCTCCCGGGATCAGTTTAGTGGGTCTGATAAAGACCCGCTAAATCGACCACTTTCCATTGACTCTGGTACTCCAGCGGATTGAGAGGCGTAAGAGGAGTTGACAGGAGAGTTTCTCCCATCAATTCCCCTCAATGGAGATGCCACAGTAACTTGAACTGAGGCACATCTATTCCAGCTGTGCTATTCATGTAGCTGGAGTTGCGCACCTTTGTTTAACATCGGTCACTACTGTAGACCTGGCCTTAGACTTGCTTTTTATTGGTGCTTTGACTTTTTAGGTTGAAATGTTTTTCAGAAGCCCACGGGTACTGGAAGTAGGGGTGCTATGGCTGTGGCAGTGTCCCCAGCTGTAAGTGGTTTTCAACATACACAGTTTTACCATTTTGGAATGGCTTTCAGGACCCTGACTATAACAACTGTTCCAACACAACGGCAGAAGTGACCCTGGTTTATTTACCGAGCTAGATCTTCAGCTGGGGTGTGCAGAGCTTCACGGATTCCCACAAGTTTAGGATGTAGACCCATTATTATTAATTGCCTAGAACAGTTATAAGATTAAATAAAGCAACCTGTTCAAAATTAAACTAACTGCATGAAGCCCCAACCATATTTAATATATTTCAGATCCTTCTTCCCTAATGATCACTTAGTTCTGAATAACTTTTTCCAGCATACAAATTTAGTTCTAGCTATATTAGTTCAACATGAAATGAATGTATTTAATTGTGCATTGTTCAAATTAATCCTTAAGTGCATGTTGTGTCTACCTTTGTGAAAACGTTGTCAGCATTTAAATATAGCAGATCTAGTTGTTTCATTGGAATATTTATTTGTTTAGTTTGTAAAATCTTTGGGGTAGGAGCAATCTTATTGCATCTTCAACCAGCACATTGCATAGGGCAGGGCTATTCAACTTTGGAAGCCCTGGGGGCCACAATGATACTCTCAGCACATACCGAGGGCTGCAACTTAAGTGTGGTTGCATGTCCATGCACATTTATGCAAATAGCTTCTTTCACTGAGGGGCATGAATACAAAGATTAAGGCAAGACTACACAACACGCAGGCCCCATTTAAGTCAGTTCTGCTGATATCAATAAAATGCAATAGTTACCCGATTCCCACCCATCTGACAGCACTTGAATGAGAAATGTCATTCCAGGAATATAACTACTAAAACGCATATCAACAGAAGACCATTCTATTGGCTACTTTTTTGTTTTGGCTTCTACCCTGTGGGCTGCATGTTGCGTCCTGTGTAAACCCAAACTGCACCACGGGCCGCAAACAAATGGGTGGCAGGCTGCATGTGGCCTGCGGACCGCGTGTTGAGTTCCTCGGGCATAGAGAGCCCTAGTCCATGACTGGGCATACTAGGCCTTATGATGTAAATAATAAATAAATAAAATATCAATATTAATAAGTATAACTAAATGTGACCTTTCCAATATGGGTGTGCTTACTATAGTATAATTCTTGCTCATTTCCTGCTTATAGATCTGCAGTCTGGTGCTCCCGTGTAGCATGTTATGAGGCATCGATTTATTCCATAGAATCTACAGGCTGCACAAAAATTAACTCCTCATTGATCAATTCATTCAAGTGCTAAAAGCCAGTTGAGCGAATGTATATGAGCTAGTCAAGACATTCCAAATATTGTAGACCAGAGAGGGGCAACGCCCCCAATTCAAACTAGGGAGGCTAATGTACGCATTTGAAATTGCAAATGAAGCCCGGGATTTAAATATCCCGGGCTTTATTTGCATAGTCCCGCCCGGTCGCCATTTTGAAATTCCACTAGCCCGAAGTAACTGCCCGCTCCTTCACGCAGCAGCGAAACAGTAATTAGAACTAAGTCCTTAGTTCGAATTAACTGTTGCTTCTCCTGGAATGAGGTGAAACAGTTAATTCGAACTAAGGACTTAGTTCGAATTACTGTTTCACTGCCGTGTGTAGCCGCGGGCAGTTACTTCGGGCTAGTGGAATTTCAAAATGGCGACCGGGCGGGACTATGCAAATAAAGCCCGGGATATTTAAATCCCGGGCTTCATTTGCAATTTCAAATGCGTACATTAGCCTCCCTAGTTTGAATTGGGGGCTAGTGCAGACATACCCTCGGCTACTGAGTGGGCCACATGAGTGGCCCTCCTTCATCTCAGTGAGCCGCAAGATTGTCATAACCAAGATGGTCTCCTGGGATAGGGTAGATTTGCTCATTGAGCTTGCATACCTAGAATTTGCAGGGTGCGCTGATGGAACCATAGCAGGAGAGGGAACATGCAACTCTCACAAAATGTTGTGTCAATCAGCACACACTTCACTTCACTTGCCTTTGCTGTGTGCGTGTCACTTCAGTAATACTAGTGTGTGTGTGGGGGGGGGGAAACTATGAGGTAAAAACCAGCCGAATCTGACAACCCTGTGCATGGGCAACAGTCAACAAAATGTCTCCTACATGTGATAGAACCCAAATGGGCTGCATGCAGCCTTCGGGCCACAGGCTTGCCCACCACTGTTGGAGACAAATGGCAATAATTCCCTTGATAGTATCCTGCACCTGCTACAAAAATGAGATGCTTTCGGAAACGGAGTTCAATTAATGTCTTCTCTGCAAAAAATCCCAGCCACTACTGTAGATCATAAGAATCACATTAATGTTGCTCAAGTTACCATGATGTAACAAGACTCTTTATTAATAATCTATACCGTGTAAAGACTTCTCAGGAAAATGTGAAGCTGTTTGCTTCAAAATGTGGGGAGAAAGCATCACATGCATACAAATAATTTGTGAAGTGAATACAGATGTCTGGTAAGTCGTTTTTACAGCAATTAATAAGGCCCTGGGGTACATCAATTTAAATCACTTTGATCACAAACTAAAAATACCTTACATGCACTATTTAGTACAGTTTGTACTTGACAGGTATGAAGGGAACTATTATACTGTCACATTCACTCTTCTGGAGCCATTAATACAGCACATCGTGACTGATGGTGTTAGACATTTGGTGAGACAGGGGATGTAGGTTGGGTTAAGTCAAGAGACTGTTCAGAAGCTACATGATTGTTTTCATAGGCCTGGCTGGTGATTTCCACAATCGCACAACAAACTATCATGCAAGTCAGAGGCCTGATTGGAAATCTATTAGAAATACTGTAACTTGCTACTTCAAGAGGTAAAGTATATGGCAATTAACTCTGCTTTTAAACATGCCTAGGTCTTGTTATGCTAGCGACTAGCCTAATTTATTTGTGGAGAGACAGGTATATACATTGATGAACTGCACGTTGAAGACTTTTTATTCAAAACTAAACAGAGGCCCAGATGTTTTGACATTTCCTGCATTATTTTTAGTGGGTTTTTTTCCCTAAGACAATTCAGAAATTTTGACATGAGTTTGTGAAATGTTTTGGTTGACCCCACTCTGTATTTTTCCATAAACAACAACCCAAAAAACTCCCTAAAAAAGTCACCCAGCTCTACCAAGGAGTGATTCATTGTGATGGATAGGAGGAGTGCTGAGCAGCATTCAGTGGCTAAAGAGTTAAACTCAGGTAGCTAGGGGTTGTTGGCCGGGAGCCAGGAGAACCAATGGGATACAGTGCTTAAATTTGAATTGAAAAGATATACCTGCCTGCTGGTCTCTTTGTGTGAGTTCTAAACTAGGAGCTGGGGAAACAAGAAGAATTAAACCAGGCAGAATTACCATGACTACAAGAAATAGTGGACATGGAAATGGACTGGATCTTGAAGTGTATCGTGAGTAAATAGGGAAAATTGTATATTTAGTCGCGATCAGGTTATTTTCTTTGTTTTGTTTTTTTGGTTAAGCTACTCTGTACTACGTCCATGTGCCCCCCCATTCCCTTTATCTATGTTGCACCCAGAGATAACCATTTTCTATGTGTTTTAATCTGTTAGTTTCTCATTGCCCTGCAATATCTAACAACTAGGCACGCTTTATCAAGGATATCTTTTTGTTTTGTTAATAAAATCGCCTTTTTTAAGGTGATTATTTGATTCCTGTGTCCTGGAAGGTAGCAGGAGGTCTGTGTATGCATGCCTGAGACTGAAAGGTCAGCTGTAAGAGATTGCAGTTTTTCTTCTTAGACAGAACATCAGGAATGACTGCCCGTCGCAGGGAGCCATAGCCTGTAATACCTCTGAGGCTGGTATAGGGGGCTCTGTCTGTGAGGTGGAGTGTTTTCCATATAAGGGCATGTAAATTAATAATCTTCCCCTGCTCGCTCCACCCATTGCAGTAACAGATCAGCCAGTGGGCTGACTGGTGCTCAGGCCTGCTACTCCACCCACTGCAGCAAAAACCAACCTATGGGGTGATAAGTTCACAGGCAATAAAACAGGCAGGCAGCCCCTCTCTCACTGGGGATTCGCATTGAGTGAACGCCTGGCCTGATCACCCAGACGCCTTGCACCCCCCGCTCTTGAGTCTTACTGAGCGTACTCCGAGTTGGTCGACCCGAGTGGAGACAGTTTATGAGCGTGTGACCGGTACTTGTGTTCCTGCTGTCTCCAGAACTGGTATAACACCCCTTCCCCCCCACCATCATCCCTATCCTAATTGATTTTTTAGTTGTCCTTATTGCTTGCCAAGTGACAGTGGCTAAAAAGTTACTAAGTTAGTTTATAAATAGTTGTGGTTTAGGTTTTTTACTGTTTCCTTGTATAAAGTTGTGTAAATAGTCAGCCCTATGGATAATACCAGTGTTAATTCAACTGTTCCTAACCCCTGGGCAGTTATTGGGAATTATTGTGATTTAGAAAAGCCTCAGGGAATTGTTTTGTGTTGTCTGGCAATCTGTTTAATTTTTGTTCTGATGATTGTCTGGCACCATCAAAATAAAATCAGTTTGTGCTTTTTAAAGCCCCCAGTTGTGGTCTCATCCTTTCCGGCATCCCTTCGAACCTCGTGTATTACGGGGACTGACAGGGGATACCCCTCTGGAAGCAGTTCAAGTGCTTCTTCCTGGGTCTAAAAAAAAGGGATTTTTTTTTTACATTAGATGGCCAAGGCCAGGGAATCTGTAAACTTGAGGAGGTTTTTAAGCAGAAACCTATAGAGGCAAGGTATTTAAGGTCTTCTGCGGGCACCCACTTTCTGCACTCGGAGTGCCAGAGTGGAGAACAGCCGTGACATATTTTTTAACATCTGTTTAAGAGACATTTTATGTGCTCCAGGGAATAAGGCAGTGGACCAGTACTGTGGGGGACCTCAATTATATTCCATGTTTTGCTAATGAGCAAGTCATTTACATTCTTCCCCATCTACAAAATTGCATATGGAAAGTTGCCCTTCTTTTTGAAGGAATTTGGTATCCCTGAATGAAAAATTCTATAGAAGGCTAAGAAGTATTTGCTTGAAATGGGTTTGTCATTGCAGATAAGTGCAATTGGCTAGTTTGAAGAACTACTGTTTCATGGGAAATATTTAAAATGTGCTAGTTTACGGAGAGGAAGGGGATACAACTGTTGACATTTTTTTTAAATATTATAAAGAACAAAGACAATGACTATCACAGAACATGGCTTTTGAAAATATGCAAAATCTACCTTCCATAAACTTAAAGGCTACGTCTACACTGGCATGATTTTGCAGAAGAGTTCTTGTGCAAAAACTCTTCCAGAAGAGAGCGTCTATACTGGCATGTGCCTTTGAGCAAGAGATGTGCTTTTGTGCAAGAGCATCCATGCCAGCGTAGATGCTCTCTTGTGCAAGAACACTCTGTTGGCCATTTTAACCACCGGGCTTTCTTGCGCAAGAAATTCATGTTGCCTGTCTACATTGGCCTCTTGCGCAAGAACAGCTGTGCAAGAGGGCTTATTCCTGAGCGGGAGCATCATAGTTCTTGTGCAAGAAGCACTGATTTCATACATTAGAATGTCAGTGTAGACAGGCAGCAAATTTTGGCTTTTGCGCAAGATTGCACCAATGTGAAATAGCTGAAGTGTATAGGATATGATAGATCTGCTTGGTTTTCTTTTAACAACCAAATACTCACTGGTTTCAATAGAACTTCATACAATTTCATTATAGAAGCTATATATTAAGATCTAACACCTCGTACATTCTAAGGATTAATGATGAAATATACTGGCAAATCTATACTACAAGGTAAGATTGAATCTAATATGGTCAATTTCTTACTACCCAATTTTGCGATGTCAAAGGCCTGGGTCCTCACTGCGGGGAAGAACTGAACGTTGTCTGAAGTAATGTGTCCCCATTAGGGAACCTCTGGTCAACTCCGAGGTCACTTTGATTCTGGGCTAGGCTCACTGTGCCCACTGCAACCAAAAATGTGCAATGGGCAGTTATTCACTCATGTCACCAATGTCCCATAATGCACTTGTCTAGTCCCTCCCCCCTTGTGTGAGATAAAGGAGAGGCAATGTGCTCACGCCTTTTTGTGCCCTCAACAGACACCATAGAAGCATGAACATGGAGCCCAGTTTGCAGCAAACCATTGTGATGGGGATGTATGTTGGGGTGCACCTAATGGCGCAGTACTTGGAGAGCTGACACATGTCACTCCTCCAGGAAGAGGTTGAGGATGAAGCTCAGTGTGGCATGGAGGCACAGCTGCCAATCAATCCTCTGGAGACAGTGCAACGCCAGTTCTGGCACCATGAGACAATCTCAGACAGGTAGGATGGCACTGTGATGGGATGATCAGCAGGGCCTGCAGAACTTCCAAATGCTCAAGGTCACGCTCTTGGAATTTTGTGAATAGCTTGCCCCTGTGCTGAGGTGCCAGAATACCAGAATGAGTCCTGCTCCGACCCTGGGGAAGTGCATGGCAATTGCCCTATGGAAGCTTGCAACGCTAGACAGCTACCTGTAGGTGGTGAATCAGTTGAGATTGGGGAAATCTACATTGGGGGCTGTTAGACAAGTAGCCAAGGTGATCAATCACATTCTGCTACAGAGGGCAGTGATTCTGGGAAATGTGGACACCACAGTAGATGGTTTTGCCAGGGTGGGGTTCCCTAACTGCCCTGAAGCCATAGATGGAACACACATCCCCATCTTAGCCCCTGATCTCCTTGCCACAGAGTACATCAGCTGCAAAGGGTACGTCTAGATGGTGCTGCAGATGCTGAAGGACCACAAGGACCATTTCACGGACATCAGCTTGGGATGGCTGGAAAAGGATGCATGATGTCCTCATCTTTAGGAACTCCTGCCTATTCCAAAAGATGAAGAGTGGCACTTTTTTCCCAGACAGGAAAATCAGTCAGAGAAATGGAAATCCCTATTGTAAACCTTTGCAACCCAGCCTACACCTTGCTCCTGTGGCTGATTAAGCTGTATACGGGCAGCCTGGACCCAAGCAAGGAGGTGTTTATCAACAGGTTGAGCAAGTGCAGAATGGGGGTCATATGTGCATTGGGACATTTAAAGGGTAGATTTAGGAATGTCCTGACTCAGCAGGCCCTCAGTGACCACAAAATTCCCTTTTTCATGGTAGCTTGTTGTGTGCTCCATAATCTGTGCAAAAGCAAGGGAGGGAAACTCATCTGGCAGGGGTGGGGGGCTGAGGCAGGGTTCTTAGGCAGAGAACTGGACACCATTGCCATAAGGAGAGGACGGCAAGGGGCAGCACGAATAAGAGAGGCCTTGGTGGACAGTTTTATGCAAGGCCAGTTTTAAGACTCTTCCACATAGCTCTCAATAAGTTGCCCCGGCACTCCCTGTGTTTGCCTTTATTGCATGAACTGCAGAGGTGGGGGATTAAAGATACCATTGTTCAAAGAGCAGGAGTTTTTATTTGGGGAAAACAAAGGAAACAAGTGGGAACCCGAAGGAGGAAGTGGAGCTCAGGAGCACAAGTGGGACTGCCTTCTGCACCCTGAGGTGTTGGAGGGTATGGCTGCTCTTGAGTTACGCACTCCCCTCCCGCCGCCCATGTCCTGAGGCCCCTGGGGACTCTGGGAGTGGAAGCAATGGTGCTGGGGAAGAAGGGACCAGGGCTGTCATTGGAGCAGACAGGGTTCTTGGAGCAGGCTCTCTTTAGGCATGAAGCCAAATGCTCCATAAAAGCAGTCAGGGAGGCAAACACAGTCTCCTGCTGCCTTGTCTGCTGCTTCCTGGTAGCTCTTCTCTCCTGGTGTTCCTCAATGTGATCCAGGCGCTTTTCCCACATCTCCTCCACAAGGGAGTTCATGCAGTCTATCTGCTCCGGGAACATGTCCTCCCTTGTCGGCTTTCACCTGTGGATGTGAGCCAGGTGGGCAGATGCTGGAAGACAGGGAGTAGACGCCGAGCTGGATGCAGTCCCAGCTGCAATGAGAAGTTACAAGGGAAGGCGTTACAGGAGATACATTGTGTTAAGGTGACCTCTACTCTGTTAGCCTGCACCAAAGGTCTCTGTAAAGACAAGGGAGATGTGTTCCAGGCAAGGCCAAATGTTTGCTTTTAGAGGGCACTGTACAGCAGGTGCACAGAGTTCTCAAGGGAGCATCAGGACACAGTTAGCTCGGAGGTAGGCAGGCATGGTAAGGGGCCAGCCAGGGCAGGAGCCTGTGGTGGGGAGGAGAGAGATGAGAGAGGGCAGCTTCCTGCTGTGTCTGGCACACACTGGGTTCTGGCACATATCGCCTCTCGGGGAGAGTGCTTCTTCCCTAACCCACAAAATGGTGTGTCCGGCACACGCAGCTTTCTAGGGAAAATGCTAATAAACTTCCCCTCCTTCTTCCTCCAGGTTGCCATGTGAGATATCATTCTCCGAATCACAAGGAGTGATTGGCAGCAGATGCTGACTGAATATGATCATAAACCTGGGCCTTATATTGCACTGCTTTATTGTTCAATGACGACAGTTCAATGGAGCCACTTACCTGTGGCTTGTCACGAGAAGATGTTCTACCATGGAGGACAGAATAAGGCTGGACTGACCAGAAACCTTGTGAGAAGGATTAAAGAATTCCTATGTGAGAGTGCGAGGGGGTTCACTCACCACCACAGCACCCCCTGCTGTCTGTCCTAGGAATTAGCTCCTTCTGCTGGCGGGGTGCCTTCCCTCGGGTGGTGTCTCCCCTCTTTCCTCCAGGCCACGGCGTTCTCTTCAGGACACTTCCCTCCGGCAGTGCCCACGTCAGTCTCTGAGCCCCCCTTCCGGGGGTTGTTGTTTCTTCAGCAGGCTGTGCTTCAGGCCCTGCAGTCTAGGGGTTTGCTTGGCCAGAGCTCCCCTAGCCCTGCCTTGCCTCCCCAGCCCTGCCCTAACTCCAGGGAGTCTCCTCCTCCCCCAGCAGCCAAGCTTTCACTGCTTTCCTCGGAGCAGCAGCCCATTATATAGCTCCCAGCTGGGCCCTAATTAACTAACGCAGCCCTGTCACATTGAGCTTCATGGAGCTGCGCAGGCAAGACTCCTCCTCCATCTGCAGACACATTAACAATTTGTTCCATGCCCTCTCTTCCCCCCGCACTGTGTCGGCACAGAGCATGCCACATATCATACCCCATTGCCTTAACCGCTTTGTAATTAGAAAAAGTTTGTGAACTCACTGGAAGTGTCCTCCCTGGTGCTGGTGCTAGATGGGGAGACATCCTGGGAGGACTGGATCAGCTCCAGTGTCATGAACAGCTCCTCACTCTCGAGGATCGCCATCTGGCCATTCTTCTCTTCTTTTCCCTCCTCCTCCTCCATTTCCCCCTCTGCCACCATGCTGTCCTCCAGGCATGTCTTGGCCAGACTCCATGATCACGCTGGGAAAGCTGGCTGGGGACCCCCACTCTCTGAATGGTGTCCAGAGGAGCAGCATGTGTGAGGTGCTGCACTAAACCATCCGCTCACCTCCTTCACGTTGTGGAAGGATTGCCTCAGTTCCTTGATTTTCACTCAGCACTGCTGGTCATCGCTAGAATCACTTTTAGCCACTGGGCAGTTTGCAGTCTTGCTGTAAATGTTGGCATTCCTCTTGTTGGTTCAGAGAGAGCGGATTCTTCTCCCCACACCTCGAGGAGGTCCAAGATCTCCTGCACACTCCACACTAGTGCACCCCTGGGAACTGGAGCCAGTGGGAGCAGAAGTATTCAAACTCATTGCAGTGTTATCAGAATTGGTCGAAATCATGTCCACATGTTGCACAGTGCGCTGCTCGCTCTGGGATGTGCTCACAATGCTGGCCACACAGGAAAGGCAACTCAACTTTTCCCAAGGCTTTTTGAGCTCAGCAGGAGAACAGTAAAGGTGTAAGTTCTGTCCCGAACGGTCAGAGTGTGGAATAGCCTCAACTTTCGCCCGACACTCCATCTATGCTACCATAAATTCGACCATGCAAGATCAGGAATTGTGTTACTCCTTGTGAAAAGCAGGAGTACTGAAATCGACTTCAGAGGCCCTTAAAGTCGACACAACAGGCTTAGTAGTGTAGACGCATCACTTACAAAATCAACCATATGCATCTAAATTTGATATAAAATCCAAGTGTAGACCAGGCCTAAAACACTACGAAAAATATTCTGGTTACTGAAATGTCCCTGGAAAATTGTTAGTATTATGGTTTTAGGTTCCATTGCTAACAATAACGATACGTCCAGCATCCTATGATGTAGTTCTGTCTTTGCAATTAACAGAGTGGCCACTAAATTATCACAACGGTATACGTGTCTCTAGATAAACACTATCCTCTGGCTAAGAGTTAGATTAGCCAACAATAAAAATAAACAACATTTAGCACTTACAGAGAGCTTTACATTTCTAAAGTGCTTTACCAAACACTAATTAATTAGTGCTCTGGGGGAAGGAAAATAAGAGCAAATGTCTTGCATAATGCAATGAAAACAAACATGTTGTAACATACTGTGTAATGTACCACTGTCCTCTCCTGAATATCGTCAGAACTGTTCAACTGTGTATTATAAACCACGTAGGACTGGCTGCTAATGGAGATTCTCCTTAAATTTCAAAGAATAGAAAGATTTATTCAGTCCCCTCTCTTGTTGCAAAGTGACCACAATGTACAATTTATACATTTATTTGTTTCAGTGTGGTATAATATAACTTACCCGAAAGAATTTATATCGAGTTCTCCAAAACAGGAAGCAGTCTGGTGTGTTTTCCATCTCCTCTAGAATGTGCTACATAAAAATCAGAGACTAAGACTTTCAAAAATCTATAGCCAGGCATCCAGATAAGAACCCTGATTCTCAGAAAGGCTGAGTACCCAACAATTCAAAGTGGATTTAAACATAGGTTCCAATTTTTTTAAATCTTTCATTGTTTTGTGCCAGGTGACTTTGCCAGCTCAGTGAAATCTGAGAAACCTTAAAAAGGCCCCTTTTCATTCATTTCATTCACTCTTTCAAGTAAAAATTCCATGGAAATTTGAATTTTTTCCAAGTATTTTCCCCCTTCTCTGTAAATATTTCATTTCTTTTCAAATGCAACCATCCACATTTCTTTCAATAATTTTACCTCTCAGCCTGCAAAAAGGTTTACTACCTGCCCCCACAGCTTATTCCATGGATGCTTCCTGTCAGATTTCTTGCACCTTCCACTGATGCACAGGCTCACCAATGGGACAGGGGGAGGGGGAGGCAAAGGGGCCCCCTTTGAATTGCTGTCGGAGTGCTGGAGCACTGCTATGCATGGCTCCAAGCACTGTGGGGAGGAAAGTGGGGGTCTTCTGCCCTCAGTCCTGCCCCTTCAGGGGTGCAGAGCCAGCCCCCCACACAACTTGCCCTGGGACCCACAGTGGCTATTGGCCCCGCTGCTGATGCACCAGGTGTTGCCTGCACTTAAAAGTTTAAAGTGCAGATGCGGCAGCACGTTCAATGGAAAAAATGACAATAGCAGGAGCCCTCTCTCCCAGGCTGTGTCCAGACTCAGGGTTTTTTTCGGGAAAAGTAGCCTTTTTCCGAAAAAACTTCCCCTGCGTCCAGACTCAAGCCGCGTTCTTTCGAAATCAAATCGAAAGAACGCGGCTTTTCTTTCGATGGCGGTAAACCTCATTTCACGAGGAAGAACGCCTTCCTTCGAAAGTTCCTCTTTCGAAAGAAGGCGTTCTTCAATGTAAATAGGGCTTCTTCAAAAGAGAGCATCCAGACTCACTGGATGCTTTCTTTCGAAAAAGCAAGCCGCTTTTTCGAAAGTTCAACGTGCAGTCTAGACGCTCTCTTTCGAAAGAGGCTTGCAGTCTAGACATAGCCCCAGTGCTCTATGTAAACACCCTCTGGGAGGGGAGTAGCCAACAACACTGGGAGCACTGTAGCCAGCTTCACACTGGTGCTTTACAGAGCTGTAACTGAGGGTACAGCTACACAGCAGGGCTAAAGTCAAATTAAGCTGCCCAACATCAGCTACGCCAATTGCGTAGCTTAAGTCAAAGTAGCTTAATTCGGCTTTTGATGCTGTCTACATCGCAGGAAGTCAAAGGCAGAACACTCTTCCTTTGACTTCCCTTACACCTCATGAGTCAGAGTAAGGAGTCCTCAGGTCGACATTATTTCGAAATACTTATAGTCAGGGCTTGACAAACGGCGGCGAAAACCGCTCGCCAGCCCCGTACTGCTCATGCGCAAGTGCTGTATTGCGCATGCGTGCGCCGCAAATGAACGAATTAGTTTGTTGAGCCCTGCTTAAAGTGTAGGGCTATGTCTAGACTACAGCGGTTTTCTGGGATATCAGAGAAATCCCGGAAAAACTCTGCTGCGTCCAGGGAACGTGCCTACTCTTCCGCTTTTTTTTGAGGAAGAGCAAACGTGCTCTTTCGGAAGCCCTGTCTGCCTCCTCCCACGAGGAAGAAGGGCTCTTCTGAAAGAGGAGGTATTTCCAGAATTTGGCTCAGTGTAGACATGCCGAATTTGGGAAAAGCTTCTTCCTCTTCCGAAAGAGGGTTTTTTTCCGAAATTTGGCCCAATGTAGAGAGGCTAAATTTCAGAAAAGCCTCTTCCGAAAAAACTATCAGAAAAAGCTACACAAATTGTGGTGTGCAATTTGTGTATCTTTTTCCAATAAAGCCCCTTAGTGTAGACATAGCCTAGATGCGCACTATGTTAGTTCGGAATAACATCAGTTATTCCAAAACTTCAGAGGGGTGGCCAAGTTAATCTGTACAAGATAAACTTAAAAAATCATAAATGGACTGGTAGCACTTTAAATACTAACACATCATGTAGATGGTATCATGAGCTTTCGTGGTCACAGCCCACTGTAACACTCCTGTGTTAACGTACCCTTCCTGTGCTCGCAGGGGTAGGTGTTTTTTTTCACACCCCTGAACCAGAAAGTTACAACACTGACCTAAGGCACTGGGCAGTGCCAGAGACACAGTACAAGGTCATATGCAGTACAGCACTGCCTGCCTGTCTTTGACCCTGACAAGACACATAATTTAAAAAAGGGGAAAAAAATCCCAAGTAGTTGTAATGTTTTGACTTTTGACTTCATCCTGGCTCAGACCAGGAACATAAAGGTTTGTTGAGAGAACTACAACCTGACTCCTGCCATAAGAAATGCAAGTTTGTAACCACAGCCCTGAGTAACCTGCTTTGCAACACAGGTAGAAGGTTTGAAGCTTGAAAAGAGTGAAGCGGAAGATTAAAAAGCCTACTCCGTACTTGTGCTCTGTGACATTCAGGCATTTACTTTTGCCCGTATTCCAGACTGAATATTCTCTTCATTATGCCCAGCCCAGGTTGATAGGCACCTGAATAATTTGACTGTGTCATAATGTCATAATAATTGGAACAGAGCTAACTAGAATGAGTGTTTTGTCTTTCCTTAGATTGGGCTCATGATCCGATGCGGGGATGGTGCCCTTTTTTGACTCATTATTGGAATGCATCTGCAGGGCAGATAGTGCGAGAGGGTTCGCTGAGATCCAGGGCAGAACTAATAATACGGCGCTTTTTTCTGTCCTACTCAGAATGTGGTTAGATCTGATCATTTTAAATGTATATTTTTAATCGTAAAGGAACCTCTTTCATTACCTCC